CATTGTGAATCTTCAGAGGGTTGTAGGGTTGTTGAACTTTCAATATCTGTTCTGTAGAGGCCATGAGTGCTCTTTCCTCCTCTTCTTCCTCTTCTTCGTCAGACTCATAATCACTCCAAGTGGCCTTCATTGCTCTTTCTTTTGCTTTTAATGTTAGAGGGCAATTTGCATGAATGTGGCATGGCTTTCCACATTTGTAGCAGTCTTGTGCTTCAAGTATCCCTGTTTCAACAAACTTGGTCTGCGGAGTACGCAGCCTATCTTGAAAAGAGTTTTTGACTTTGTCAAAAGGGTTAGCACGATAAGAAGCATTACGATCATAAGACTTTTGCTTCTGTTCTTGCTTATACTTAAGCATTCTGTGAAATTTGTTGCTTATTAAAGCAAATTCTCTATTGAATTCATCACCTAGATCAGCATCTGAATCATATTCAACCACCTGAGATTTAAATGCTAAACTTTTCTTGTGTTTCTCCTCATCCTTATTAACTTGCTTAAGGACATGCTCATGACTTAGAAGTGACCCGATTAATTCATCTATGGGCAAGGTATTCAAGTTTCTAGCTTCTTCTATTGTTGTTCTTTTTGGTAACCATTTCTTAGGAAGAGACCTCAAGCTTTTTCTATCTAGATCCTTAAGGATGTAAGCTTTCCCTAGTCCTTTCAGTTTATTTATAAGAACAATAAATCGAGAGTACATTTCATGAATTCCCTCACCTGGAGTCATTTCGAAGCATTCATACTCGTGGACTAGAAGATCAATCATGGTTTCCTTGATATTTGAGGTTCCTTCGTACGTGCTTTCGAGCGAGTTCCAGATTTCCCGAGTGGATTCGCAATGTTCCACTTTGTCAGCTTCGTCAGGTGCCATGGCTGATTGAAGGATGTGCATAGCCCGCTGATTGAGTTGAGCACTCTTCTTTTGGGCGGCTGACCAAGTGCTTTGTTCTTCGTCTACCATGGCGACTGGACCATCACGCACCACCGTCCAGAGATCCTCGTCGACTCCCCACAGAAAAGTTTTCATTCTTTTCTTCCATGTTGTATAGTTCGACCCGGTGAACATAGGAGGGTGATTATATGATGCTTGCCCGAAGTTGGTTGATCCCGTTGATTCTGGATTTGTCTTGACAGCAATTAGCTCTTTCAAGAACCAGGCTCGCTCTGATACCACTTGTAAGAGAGAAATGATTTCGTGAAACAGAAATGGGAAGAGAACAATTAGGGATTTTGACTGATAGAAGTCAGCAAACGAATCAACCCTAATTAGACCGAAATGATTTTAACCCATCTCGTAAGAGCTGGTTTCGGTTGGGCCGTCTAAAGATAAGCCCGCATATCAGAATGGAAAGATACTGGGCTTGACTTCAGTATAGGCCCGAATCTCTACTCAGAGAAGAAAGAGAGAAATTGTTCTTCTTCTTCGCTGAGCCAAGCTGACCAGAACCAGAGAGACGCAGAACAGGGGAAGCTGGAAACGATCAAAAAGAAAGTGCAGAAAATAAAGAACACAACGAAATTTTTAACGAGTTTCACCACAGGGTTACTCCTCGTCCCGGAATAGTAGACACTATTCCGAGAGACACTTTGATTCTCTTGACTCTATAAAGAAGAACAGAAAGACTCAAATACATACACAAATGTGAAAATCAAAGCGATGGCAACAAGACCCGAATTCGCACAGGAATTCACGACACCTTTGATCGACTGAACCTATTCCTCAGTTGCGATCAAAGCCATTTTCTATTCCCCAACCCTTTGCCCTATTCCACAAAGAATCCCAGAATCAGTACATAAAATGGTCTCCGAGCTTCCTTTAAATAGTTCTTCAAGAAGATAGCCGTTGTAGTCCTGTCTTTTGAATCGTTCCAGTCAGGGAAGGTTTAGGATTCCATTGATAAGCTCCCCCTTGATTTCGGCTTAATTTTCTTTGACTCTTCCTTTTTAGAAAGAGCAATCTCTGACTTGATTTCATTGAAATCTTTCAATCCAACAGTTGTAAGATTTATTCCATATATTATATTTATTGTTATCTTGCAATTTATCTACTCCAACTCATATTAATTTTATTACACATCAATACAATTCACTTACAATTGCAATCCCAATTAATTTTAATACAACCATGAACACAGAAACACTTGAATAATAATATTTAACATAAGAAGAGGATGTGAATTGCACACCCATAGTTGCATTAGATGCAATCTTACAAAATGCAATAGCAAATAAATATCATGTTATGATGAAATTCAAAATGCAATTTCAACGTATATGTTAATATATATAGTTATTCGAGAAAGTAAAGAAGAAGAATACTAGTGCAATTATCCATTCAGTTTATCGTTCTTTTCTTTTGTATTCCTCAAAATTAGAAATGAAAGAATTTATATTTTACCCTACTTAGAGTTTGTACGCGTCAAGTGGGAAGAATCCAACTAGTCACCTTAATTACAGAATCCAATTTTAAGGGTTTTGTTGGTAAAGATTATTGTTATATTATCTTCTTTTTGTTCTTTCATATGTTACAGTGAACAAAGAATGAGTGGTTGGGGATTAATGGATGAAATCGAGATGCCTGTCATCGCCACCTATCCACTTTCATCGTCACGAACAAAGGAGATTTCTTGTACCTATGACTATACACTTATATCGCCTTTTGTTTTCATGTCTCTAATTTCCCCCTAAAATCGTTGATGATAAAAGAGCTGTTTTCTACCAAACTATCTGGATTATGAATTAACTTCGATCATCGTGTTTAAAATTGATTAATTTAATTAGTTAAAATTATTGTACACTTGAAAACGATGCGGATACTATTCCGGTCAATGGGCCGGTCACCGGCTATTGGTTTTATAAGCACATGCATTTTTGTGGCATGAGATAAGTTACGATGGCCAGGGAGGCTTATGTATGTTTGTAATTTGTGGACTATTTTAACTCTTAATAAAATGTTTCATCTTTATAAAAAAGGGTTAATAGCATATTTTACCCTCTACTATTGCATTTTCTTAGATTTGCCCCTCTACTGTATTTCACATCAAAGTTGCCCCTATATTATTAAAATTTATCAAATCTATTAGATTTTCCATCTAAAACTGTTAAATTTGGTCAAACTATCCTTTGACTCACTTGAAATGACTAAATGACCCCTAATTGTTTATAAAGAAAGAACGAAAGAAAGAACAAAATTTAAATTAAATTAACCCTAACGGGCGACTGCATGCAATGCCGATTGAGTTTTCTTTTTTCCTCATCATCCTCCTTGGATGTCTATGGCAGGGGAAGCTTCTCAAATGCATCGTCCTTTCTTACCATCCTCAAGAGTATTGGCTGCATCGTTCCTTACCTACCTGTTCAGGGAACCTCCCTCATCTCACAAACTATCGAGCTTCCCTGCTGCTCGTCAGCTACGCCCAAACTTGTGCCATCATTCAAATTTCCTTCGCAATTACAAACTTCTGTTCCGAAGCTTGTTCCTCGGGGAGTACCGAACTAGCTAGGGTTTGTCTGAAATTGGGGGGGGTTTACTGTCCCTGCTTGTTTGTGAATTGTGAGGCTTGCCGTATTTGACTGGAGGAGAGGAATTCGCCGAGGGACTAGAGCGGGACACGGTCGAATCTGTGTTTTGCAAGACCTTAGCGGTCTCCTCAAGTTTGGACTGGAATCGCTGGGATTCGTGATTCCTTAGGTGGATTCCATGATTTCTTCTTCTTCTTGATGCTCGAATCCATGACCATGAGTACTACCGGAATCGTTTCAGATGATTGAAATTAGCAAAATTAACTCAATGGTAATTGATGGAGTTGAGATTATTATATGGATGCTTTTGACGGTTTTAGTCGGCGTGCCGACAGCGAGAGGGGGTTTCTTTCATTTTTAATTTTTATTGTTATTTTTTTCTTATAAAAATAAAACTACAAAGGGTAGTTTGGTCATGCCAAACAGTTAATAGATAGGCAACTTTGCCATGAATATAATAGAGGGGTAAGTTTGAGAAAATGTAATAGTAGTAGGGCACATTATGTTATCAACCAAAGGAAAAAAGTTAGATTGGTATGTTTCCTAGAATCGCAATTCAATAACAACATATTCATGAGCTCTGATTCTTGGATCATAGTTACTTGCATCATCAACACTCACCTCTAGAAAGACTTTCTTTTGCGCTCTTTCAAGTTCCCCAATTATTATACAAATTTTAAGAATTACGAAGATATATAAACAAGCGAAAAGAACGAAACTTGGATTAAAGACAACGACTGAACAAATTCTCTCTATTCATAGGAGTGACTAAAATATCATAAAGTTATTGTTCAAAATATGATAATATTGATCTTGGGGTTAAAGACACATTTGGTCACTGAGATTACAAAATCGGGACATGTTTAGTCACTAGAAAAATTTAATATCAAATTTGGTCACTACAATTACTAAAATTGGACGCATTTAGTCACTCGCCGTTAGTCTCCGTCCAACTCCGTTAATGAAGTCCGTTAAGTGCTGATGTGACAAACAGAATTGCCTAATCAGCCGGATATTAACCCAACAAAAATAAAACCCGACCCGCCACGTCATTATAACCCGCCACCTCATTAAAACCAACCCAACCCAACCCATCACCCAACCCTACCCAACCCTTCTTCCTCCTTCCTCCCCAACCCAACATCTGAACGCCATTCAAAATCTGGAGCTAAAAGCAAATCGGCAATGAATAGTTGTCTGAATGCCATTCAAAATCGCTAAAAATAACTAGCGGATTATCCGATTCTACTGAGAAGAGTGAAAACGAAAAACGAAACCGAAAGATAAGCGAGACGATGACAAAAACCTTTCCGGCGTGCGATGATCCTCAACGAGAATGAAGACACGAAAACTGTGACGAACGCCGGCTGCTCTCCGTCAACGAAATCTTCCCCCAAAGCCGCCTGCTCTCCGTCGATGAAATCTTCCCCCAACGCCGCCTGCTCTCCGTGGAAGCCACAAAGGGGAAAACCCTAGGCTTAAAATCTAGCCTGGCACTGGTGGAATCCCAGATGCGCGGCGGAAAACCGTTCCTCGTAATGCTGCTGCTGCTGCGCCGCCGCCAGAGCAAGCGCCCCGTGAAACGAATGCAGCAGCGCCGATGTCGACGGCGGAGCGGAGAGAGTTGATCCGCTGCTCCGCAGCGAGACATTCAGGGTGGAGAAATTGGCCAGGATGGTGCCCGTCCCCGTCGCCGCGATAATCGCCGGCTCCGCCTGCTGCAGCAGCCACTCGATCGTCTCCCCGTCCGATTTGTGACCCAATTCCCTCGTCAATTGGAAAACCCTCGCCGCGCAGGCGGCCGGCATCCGGATCCTCCGCCCCCGCCCGTCCACCTTCGTGTGCCTGTCTTTTCTTGGGCAGTTGTGGTTGCTCATCGTCGTCATCGCTGTCTAAGGAAGAGGCAGAGAGGAAGAGGGGGGAGGTGAACAAGAAGAAGAAGAAGGAGAGCAAGAGTAGCTTCCTGAATCTTCATCACCGAGCTCCGAGCCGGCACCGCCACATTCCTCAAGAAGATGAAGGAAGGGCGGCCGGCAGATTAATGGGGAAAACCCTAAATTGGGTTGGGGAGGAAGGAGGAAGAAGGGTTGGGTAGGGTTGGGTGATGGGTTGGGTTGGGTTGGTTTTAATGAGGTGGCGGGTTATAATGACGTGACGGGTCGGGTTTTATTTTTGTTGGGTTAATATCCGGCTGATTAGGCAATTTTGTTTGCCACATCAGCACTTAACGGACTTCATTAACGGAGTTGGACGGAGACTAACGGCGAGTGACTAAATGCGTCCAATTTTAGTAATTGTAGTGACCAAATTTGATATTAAATTTTTTTAGTAACTAAACATGTCCCGATTTTGTAATCTCAGTGACCAAATGTGTCTTTAACCCTATTGATCTTGTTAAATTTAAAAGAAAGGGGTAGCGGGAGATTTGTTTTATAATCTTTTGATTTTCCGAAAAAGTAAGCTTATTTGCCGGAAATGTGAGTCATAGTCCGACTGAAGGATGACAGCAAAATAAGTAAACAACTTTTTAATCGTCCATCCTTCTTATAATCTTCTCCAGACTTTCACTTTCACAGAACATATACAACTAATTAATATTTTGCAACATTGATACACTAATTTCCATTTGTTATTCCGTAACATTTACAATCAGGATGCCAAGAACTTAGGATGGGGGACATGTAATTTGTATATTTGATACAATGTACAAAAGAGGCTCCACCTAAAGATTTATACAAATGTACATCCTCCATAAAGTTACAATGTACATAAGAATGAACGAATCGACTAATTATACATTTTATTTTTCAATTACTGGTTAGTGGCCACGTTGATACAATATCTCTCCGCAGGCAAATGTAGAGAAATATTGGTGAACAATTCAATACTAATCACTAAATGAGTATCTTGGTCGAACTGTTGCATATCATCTGAACAAAGATTGAGAATGTCTGAGGAGTCTGGTGATAGACCTTGTTTCTTGGGCTCTACACAACAAATTCTTGACCCCTTCTGTCACCTGCAAGTACTTATATGATTTATGTACACCTAATTAGTAAAATGAAAATTTATTCCAATAATTCAATTTGATTATAATGAAGTAAATTACGTAATTAATTTACCTTTCCAAAGCTTCCCCTGGCATAGGGAAGTGGCCTTTGGTAAGTGAGACTACTAGAGGTAGCAGATGGAGGTGATTTTCTGGGCGTGGGCACTGTTAGAACATTATTACTACAATTACTGCTATTGTGGAATCTCTCATTTATCAGCTGGCTGCTTCTACTTCGAGTTACAACTGTGGAAGATCCCACTGGCCATTCTCGATGGGCGCCATGGCTCAACACGCTTGGCAGGCTTGATTCCTACATGTAGTTAGTTAGTGAAGTAATTAGTCATGTAATTAGGCTAGGGTTAATCTTTATTCTTAATTATCAAAATTATATGGCTTTTCCTGTCCTATCAAATTGTAATTGACATGAAGTGTCTTACCAAGAACAGGACTGTTGCACAATGTTTGAGGACCTCCAGATTCATTCTGACATCGTCGAGACTTCTGAAATATTTTATTATTGGATGCGTGCAGTTCGAGCAACGTAACAAATTAGTAAATTGATTAAAAATAGAATTTTGGTTATACAAATGTAATGTGTCAATTACCTGTGTTTTTGTTGACCAAGTCCAAAGTACTCCGCCAAGGTAGCCATCTGGATTCACATCAACTTCTCATTAGAAAACATTTTTTTTAGCAAGATTACAACTACATGTACTACTGAATAAGAGGGGAGGAAAGCTAAACAAGAAGCTCACACTCTTGAGATTACTCTACATAGCATCTTGTTACAACCAAATTATAAATTATTATAGGAATATATTTTATCTATGATATGAATGTTGACGATCCGATGAAATGCATCTAACAATTGAATGTTGAAATTTTTTCAATGTTATTTTAAATCCATATTTAAATCAACTTTTTCATTGGTGGTCACTAATATAGTAATTTATGAATGATGGGTGCAATCAAATCAACATTATAGCAACAAATTCTATAACTCTGGAGTCAAGCATGAGCATGACGTTTTAGAGAAAGATTCATGGGAAACAAACTCTATAACAAATATTTATTCTTTAGGTTTCCAAGACAACTTTTGCTTAACCTACAAAACTTCTATGAAGAAATTGCCCATATGGACAAATTGGACTTGGAAAATTAGTTAGCCGGGCCACAATTTGGCCCTAACTCAAACAATTCAACTAACTCAAACTGTAGCCCGTGGGCTCGAACCCAAAAATAAAAGCCCATTTCGTTTTATTAAAAAACAAACAAACCTTCATGTTGCCGGCGCGTCGCCCAAACCGCTGCGTCAACACCCCCAGCGAGTCAATGCTCCCGACGGGCAGCGGCGCCGGCCGGCCGATCTCGGCGAAGGCCTCCTTGATCCGTACCATATCGAACCTCTGGATGTTGTGGCCGGCCCATACCCTCCCGTTCAGCATCGCGTAAATCCTATCCGCCACTTGCTCGAACGTCGGCGCTCCAGCCACCGCTGCCCTCGTTATCCCCTCCGGCCGGCTGGACCGCACCGAAGCCGCCGAAAGATCCGACGGCCTGATTAGCGTCGCGTAGCTCTCCAGCTCCACCAGCTTCCTCGGGCACACCACGATCGCCCCGAACTCCAGCACGTGGAACCGGCCGCCGCCACTCCCACACCGGCTGGGCACGTTGGTTTCGAGGTCGAAGAACACGATCTGGGGAGCGGACGAGGCGGCGACATTTCCTTCTTGATTCATTTCTAAATTGTTGGGGTTGTGCTTTGTTTTTTTTTTTATTAAAATTTTCCTGATGGGCTAAGGATTTGATCGATTTTGGATAGTTTTAACGATTTTGTAAGGGGGGAGGGAATGGAGGTTATAAATAGGGGTGTCGCCGGTGCCGGCGGGAGCGGGAGGAGGGAGGGGGGAGATTGATTGTCTTGTAGTGCAAGTCATTGTTTGGGAGAGAGGGAAGTTAGGGAAACCGCAAACCCATGAAAATGGTCACCAGGAGGAGGAGAGGTTTTCTTTAGCTTCTTGGACATGATTTCTAATCTACTCTTCTTTCAGAAAAGGGATATTCGTATTAACAGACTGTCAGAGAGAAAGAGAGAGAAAGCTTAACGGTCAAGCACTCAAGGTTAACGGTTAAGCTTATGTTGTGGGAATGATTGCTTGAAATTCCATGCAGGGGCGAAGTCAGAATTTTTACACCGGGGGGCCAAAATCGAATAATTGTACGCATTTCATTACTTCGTAAAAATGAGCAAAAGTGATATATAAAACTTAAATTTTCATGGTAAGATTAAGAAATTTATTATAAAGTTGTTAGCAAATTTATGTTATTTTCACATTTCAAAATGCATATTTGCTAATAAAATTAGATTTTGAATTATTCAAAACAAAGTAAGATATCTAGCGGTACAAATAATAAATACTAAACGAACGAGATTCAAATTTAAAAGTGGATACTAAGATTTTTTCAGAACTTTTCTCTGATATACATTAGATATTATATGGAAATTCTCTCTTTTAATTTTTAGAAGGCAAAAATAGAGTGAACTTTTCTCCAATATACATTAGATATTATATGGAAATTCTCTCTTTTAAATTTTAGAAGGCAAAAATAGAGTGAAATAATAAATATTTAATGCAAGTTCTCTTAAAATTTCTACTTCCCTTTGTTTAAGTGAAACACAGCCTTTACCACTATGCTGCAATTAAATGATGATCCAATATGCCTACTCTTTATAATTTCCAAATTCCCGGGGGCCATTATCCCCCCAAGCCCTAAGCTGCCTCCGCCTCTGGTTCCATGCCTTGGCACAAAAAATTGTTGGAAAGCTAGGTAGGATGGATATTTGGATATTTATGTTCCACATATGTTAAGTACGAATCAGATTGAGCAATATTCCGTACATTGAGTTTGAGTTTGGTTGATAAATTATGATATATGATTGAAAAAAAATATCTTCAATTTTACATTAAAAAAAGAAGAAAAAAACATACTTTCTAAATTAATAAGATTGAGAATTTATCTGAAAACTAAAGGCTTGGATTAAGTAACTATGTTATTTTACCAAGGAAGAATAATGATATGACTTATGAGAACGGTAAAAATTGAAATAAACGTGTTATGAATTGAGCAAGACGAGACGAAAGTAAGAACCAAGCCCTCGTGAAATAAATAATAGCCACGAGTCAAACATATTGAATCACATAGATCAGATCGGAATTACCATGTCTATTAATATCATAACCAATGCTGTCATATCTTAATAATTAAACTGATTGAAAATTGGCCAAGAAAGCATGTTACATCCAAGAAAGCTAGAGAGGAAGACTTGGAAAGGAGGAACACGAAACGGGATTTGGTTGCACGGCGGGGAGGAATCTTGAATGCTTAGGATTAGTTAGTTAGTTGGTTTTGTGTAGGCATGGGAACGGGGCGGATCGGGCTCGGATTTATAAGGATCCGTTACCCACCCGTGTGAACTTCGGGTTCGGGGAAAACCCGCCCAACACAACTGATCGGGTGTAAAACAGACACCAAACCCATCCGTCGTCGGACTTCGGGTTTTTCGGGGATCCGAACTTGATCTTATCAAAACACTCAGGTTGAGAAAAAAAACAGCTAAATGCCATTCAACCAAATTTGGGAGATAGATTCAAACAATAATAGTCAATAGAGCATGCAAATTCAGTAGACAGTAGCCAAGGAAACCAATGTATCTAGGTTGTACCAACTATCAACCTAAATCAAACAAAATACTTGGTCTTAATTCTTGAACTAAATCGAAAACAACAAACAAAATAGGAACTCCATCTCAATGTGCAGCAGCAACTTTGACAGAACTCCTGAACTCCAGAAAACAGCAACAATCAAATCATCCAGCAGCAACCAACAACACTCATGAAATCACCCAGCAGCAACAACCATTAAACCAACATTCGATCACAACCTGCACGAAACCAACAAAAAAGTTTAGAGAATAAAACTTGAGACTCAAAGCTAAGCTAAATCAGAGAATAAGACTTGAGACTCACAGCTTAATGGTACATCACAAAGCTTGTCTAATCTTCAAGAAGTTTGAAACCCTCAATTTGATCTGCACATTTAAAAAGAACATATGAGTTGTGCATTAAAACTTGCATTTTACAACTTATAAGTTCAATATAAGAAGTCAGTTTGTTACCTGCAAGTTCAGCTTCCTGTTGGACGAAATTGGCTTCATTTGGAGAGGAGAAACAGCCTTCCAGCAGTCCTACTCCTGCAGCAGCATCTTTACCTTCTACAAGTACAAACAGACACATTAAAACATAGCAGATTCAAATAATAATGGAAATAATAGACAACTTAAGTTCAAATAAGTGATTACCTTGGGACATTTCATTTTGCAACCAACTTCTCGTACACATAAGTATCTCAACAGTACCAAAGTCTAGTCTGCTCCTATGAGGATCCAACAAACGACCTCCAGAGCTGAATGCACACTCAGATGCAACAGAGGTAACTGGAATAGCAAGAACATCTCTCGCTATGGCTTGTAATACAGGATATTTTGGGCCATTTAGCTTCCACCACATTAAGATATCAAACTCAACTGAACGAGGAAGAATTTCCTCATTGAGGTAAGTGTCCAATTCAGTTTGGACAGCAGTAACCTTTGCCTTTTTCCTTTGACTCACAAAAAGGTCAAAGTCCAGATCAGTGGTAGTAGGAGTAGAAGACTCAACACTCCCAGCAACATTCGAAGTCTTCTTCTCATTCAATCGAGTTTGATACTCCAAAACCAAATCAGACATGATGCTCTTAACAGATGCCAAACAAGAACCATCATCTCCAAACTTTTCAGCATAATATTCCACAATGGCTATCTTATACCGTGGATCCAAGACAACAGCAATAACAAGAATTTTGTGAATCTCGTCCCAATACTTACTGAACTTTTCCAACATCGAACCAGCCATATTTCTTATCACATCATTAGCATCAACACACCAATCATACATCTTGAGCCTCAGATCACATATACGAGGGAAGAACAGATTGGTTGTTGGATATTTTGAACCAGAGAACAAATCAGACACCACACAAAAGCATTTAAGCTTCTCACAAACAAGTGCAGCAAATTGCCACTGCTCATTCGAAGGCAAACATTTGTATTGAGCATCAAGTTGTTTCAATCTAGTGAATACTTCCATATAAGGGATAGCAGCAGCCAACATCTTAAAGGTGGAGTTCCACCTTGTAGGACAATCCATTACGAGCCCTTTATCAGAAGTGGACTTCATTTGTTTTGCAGTCTTTTTGAAAAGTTCCACACGTTTAGGGGTGGCAGACCAGTACAAAACACTGTCCCTTATGTTATCTATTCCCTCTTTAACAACATCCAATCCCTCCTTCACAATCAAGTTCAAGATATGAGCAGAGCACCTCATTTGTATCAAAGCTCCTTCACTAATTAAGTATGGTAACACTAATTTCGACTGTATGAAACGGATCATCGAATCATTAGTGCTACAGTTGTCGAGGGTTATAGTTGATACCTTAGTGTCAACATTCCAGTCAAGCAAACAGCCAACTAAGACTTTCCCAAGCCTTTCAGCAGTATGAGGTGTTGGAACATACATAAAACTGCAAAAAAACATAAACATAAACAATTAGTAAAATCCAAAAATTAAACATCAACAATGATTAAAATACAATAAAAAACAGGTACGTATATCATACCTAAGTATGTGACTCCTAAGCATCCAAGAGTTGTCGATATAGTGAGCAGTAACAGCCATATATCCCTTCTTTTGGGAAGTGGCAGTCCACATGTCGGTAGTGATTGCTACTCGACCTATATTGTTATCAAGCACACTCTGAAGCTTAGCCCTCTCAATATCATACATCTTAAACACCTCTTTTTTTATAGTGCCCCTACTTGGTACAGTAAACAATGGCTGCAGAGAGCACACAAATCTCTTGAAATACAGATGCTCAACAATTGATAAGGGATACTCATGCATCGTAATAGCAATTGCAAGTTCCCTTTTCGAAAAATCAGCGTTGAAAGCAGTGGCAACCAAGTCTTGTTTTCCTTGAGCCAAATAGTGAGGGCCGAGAATCTTTTGACTACCATCCCTAATTTTCTTTTGAACACAGATTCTCGTATGGTTCTTTAGATGAGTAGTACCATTGTTTGATTCCCCAACTAACAACTTCTTACAGTAGTTGCATTTAGCCTTCACAACACCATTCAATCGAATCTTGGTATAGTGAGCCCAAACAGGACTTTTAAGCTTACCAAGATCAATTACCTCCTCAACATTACCATTCTGCTGGTTTGTAGGGGCAACTACTGCTGGGACAGCCTCCCCATTGTTATTGTTGTTGTCGATTGCAGGTGCAAGCACAGGTCCATTTGCACCATTTCCATTAAGTTGAGTAGCAGCAGCTGGTTGAACACCTTCAGACGACATGATTCCTATAAGAAAACAGAGGATCAATTAGTTAGAAAGCAATAGCAAGATTAAATTAAGAACCTCAAAAAACAGAGAATGAAAATGCATTACCTTGATCAGACAGAGAGACGAACGACAAGAATGAAAATACCCCAAGTAAAACAATCCAAGTCTCCCAGTTTGCAACCCGTAGTGGACAGCAATATCTCGTATTCACAGAGCCACAAATCAAAACAGTAAGGGGGTGAGAAGTCGATAACCACAGGTAGAACTAGAAGGTGAGTAATGAACAGAAAATGACCACCCACCTCGTATTTATATGCAGCTCCAGCATTCCAGTCGAATCGATCGACTTCTCTGATTTCTCGGCATGCAATCAAAGGAAAGGATTGCATCGAGAGAAATAAAGTGATCATTAACATCATCGGGAAGGAAAGAAGATAATCGATGGAGGAATTCGCCAATTAAAAATGAAGCTGCTGGAGAAAAGTTAGGGATTCGAAGCAATCGCTGCGATTTTTTAGGTTGGGTATCCAAAAGTCGGGAGAGAAGAACGAATAAACAAGAATTGGAGCTAGGGTTTCGTTGTTTCTGAAGGGGGTATATATATGCGGGCCGGAGTCGGGGCGGATAATACTGAATTCGATCCCCGCCCGTCGCCCGTCAATGTGTATTTCGGGTTAATCCGAGCCCGGCCCGACGCCCGTTCAAGACGGATTTTCCCCGCTTGGACAGGGTCGGATTCGGACGGGTTATCGGGTCCCGGGGTACAATTCCCATCCCTAGTTTTGTGGAAGGAACCGTGGGAAAGGTTCCAACTTTGATTAGAGCAAATCCCACCGTGTATGAACTTTTTGGTTATGTTGGTCATGAGGGAAGTAAAGTTGGTTTTGGCGAGGATTGATCAGCGTTATTTATCTATTTGGCAAGTTTATGTTTACAAATTTTCTTCAACCCAATTTTGATGTCAAGACCTCTACGTACGTAACAGGATAAGGATGTTTGAAGCATCAAACACGTAAAGAAACTCGAACTAGTACGGACGAAAACGTGCTTTCGCATGCAAGCCAAATCTCCATGAATGCACGCACAGCGACAACTTGCAGTGGTTGGACAACAAGGCAGAATACTTGTGCCGTTTTGCCAAAAAAGGAAACCATCAGCTTACTATAAGCCACTAAACCAGACCAGTTCCTTTAAGGAGCAGTTTAACGGCAATAAGACACTCGTACTGCAAATGTGATCTCTCGGTCTCGCATGTCGCAAGAAAGCTCTACCTCAGTCATGCAGCGAAACAACTCGTACCATTTTTTAAGACCTACAACGAGATTATATTACAATTATACAGTGGTAGAGTCCAAATGAATGGAAAATTTACAATTACACAGCTGCGATTAAACACGACAAAGCCCCTCCCTCCGCCGATGATCAGTAGAGATGACCAGTGGCTCGCAGTAGTAGTAGTGGCACTATACTAGTATAAGAATGAGCAACCACCTTCCAACCGCAGCAGCACCTCTTACCCAAGGAAGGGAACCTCGCATGTCAATATGGCACATTCCCGTGTCTCCCCAGCAGTGGTGGTCAGGTCAGAACAACAAAACAAACCGCCACAACAGTTAGCTAGTTAGAGTTCTCCCACCACTAAACCCAGTCTTGCTATGCGGCACCCTAAACAGACTTTATACACTGAAGCAGAACTTATACACACCAAGAACCAACAATCAAATCACTCGTTGCACTCAGCTACTACACCCCATTCCAGGATTCAAATCAACCACCTACAGGAAAAACTGGCAACAAATACTACAAACTAAAACCTTGGAAAGTGTGTTCTAGTCCAACAAATTACTTGGAAACCCAGTCAGTCAAGATGCAGGCAGCCTTCACTCATCAGTTAATCAAATAATGGACATCAATTTCAGATAGCCACACCACCAAAATATATATATCTTAAAGCTTCTGTAACATATACAACAGTCCAATTGGGTATTCTAAGAAGCGGAACTCAAACTCCCACCTAAATGCAACAAAAAGTTCATCTAAATCAGGTTGATGCAATTTGTCTACCTGGATAAGAAGAGTAACCACCATCATAAGATTTGATGATAAGAAGAGGGTATTGAGATAAACTCAAGGTAACAATCATCAGTTTTAACCATAGCAGCTGGATAGCTCTAAATGAAACTACAGTCTTAACTCTTAAGGTCAAAATGAGACATGACCAAAAGTATAGCCGCAACAAGGCATTTTTGCAGAATACAGCTTACATAAAAATAGAACATTGCGATCGACAATCGGTAGTCAAAGCTGAACTCCAACCAAATGAAATGACATAAAACTAAATCTGATTTATATGATTTATCAAACTTAGGAGTCGTTTGCTTGTTGGATTTGGGTCATGGATTTGGTACCTAAATCCCAAGTTTGATGGATTTAACACAAGTCCATTGTTTGTTGATGGGTATCAAATCCGTGGGGTCCACGGATTTGGTCTTTAATTTGGGACCAAATCCGTGGACCCCACGGACTTGTAAATCCCACATATTTGTTTGGGATTTGTAAATCCATGATGGTTGTTAGTTGCTTATGTGACAAATCCATCATAAATCCATTATCAATTCTATCATGCAAACACTAGACTTTTCAAATCCATAATACAATAAATCCCTCATGAATCCCAAGGTTTTTGTTGCACAAAACCTTCATTTTTCAAATCCAACAAGCAAACGACCGATCACAGAAAAACAGCTACCACAAAGTCAAAGACTTGGAAACAGACGTGGAAACTCATAATAGCGTAACACATCAGACCATCAATTTGACCATAACAAGCGAATGGCCTAAACAGAGCAATTGTTATGATATCAAACAAATAAAGCAATACATAATTTCAAAAATATAAAAAAAAAACATATAGCCAACAATTCTCCACTAACGAAAATTTAGATTCCTCAATCACATAACGTTCTAGCCACAATGACAGTGTCAAGTACCAAATAACAGCCAAGGCAGAAAAGAAAAACAGAGGGCCTCTTCATAAACTAGATCTATCAGAACATATATTCCAGCACAGCAACAAGGAACTTCTATAGTTCTTCTCATGAAGTACAGATCTAGATCATGGAACGGGATGGAGTGAAGCAGCAACAAAAGAGCACAGAGCAGTCCACAACAACAAACCAAAGATTTCAGTGTCTGCATTCACGAGATATCACGACAACCATTTAAAGCATTGTGCCCAAGAAGCTGTCACACACCTGAACCAAAAACCTATCAGAACATAAAACAAGTCAAACATCAAAGAAGTTTACCAACCATTGAAAAAGACAGTGAAAGTAGATAGCAGACAGCTAGAACAAAGACCTCAACTATGCAGCCAATAATATATACCAAAGACCTTAGATTTTAAAGAGACCAAGCACTAAAATCATACTATTTCCAACAAAAGAATGGAATGGCCATAGTCATTAGGGATGAATTAATGTCGGCCTGCCGATTTGGAAAATACCTAACAGGTTGAACCTACCAATCAAGAGGTGTAAACTCAACACCTAGACTCAATAACAGAACTGGTAGTAGAAATACACAAATAATACAGAATAAGTCATCCTTGATAGCATGGTTGCAACAAAATACCAGGGCAATAAAGATAACAACCAGCAAACCCAACAAAAACAGACAATTACCTCAGTAGTAAGGTGGGCCACCAGGATACATCCCCCCTGGTGGAAGTCTAGGCGGCATTGATGGCGGCTGGTGTGGCTGAGTCATACCATAAGGCCCGCTATCTGGATAACCAGCAGAACCCATACCAGCAGAGCTTGGAGGAGGTCTGAACATAGAGCCCCCTGCAGTATTCATTCCATACTCACCCACAGCAGGTCCCCCGTATTGGGAAACTCCATACTGACCACCATAGCCACCATTACCCATTGCTCCTGGCATAGACGAATTCATCCCATAGTTATTGCTGTTCCCTCCACCAGAATAACCTCCATATGGTGGCATCGTGCCAGAGCCATAAGGAGGTTGTTGTAGTTGTTGCATCGAGGGCTGCTGTAGGTTTGGTTGCATCTGTGAATTGTCTGCTCCATGAGGTTTACCTTTCTTATTATCAGCAGCCAGTTTGCAAATAACTTGGAAACCATTAATGTTCTTGGTTGGTTCAGCAATCGCAGCCCGAGCACCTTCCTCGGTCTTATATATCATAAAAGCAAACCCCTTGGTCTTCCCAGATGACTTATCAAACCCTAAAGGCCCCTCCTCAATCTCTCCATACATTGAGAAGAACGCTAACAACTTTTCTGAAGGTATATCGTAAGGCACATTACCTACATAGATCTTCCTCAAAGAAACATCGACACCACCTCCGGAGTTAGATTGCCCAGCAGAGGCCAGCTGCGTGACCGTCATTCTCCCATCAATCTTCTTGCTGGGGTCTTTCAACGCCATCCGAGCACCATCGATGTGCTTAAAAGTAATGAATCCGTAACCCTTAGATTTACCAGTGTTCTTGTCCAAGATGACAATAGCCTCCTCGAGCTCGCCGTAGGTGGAGAAGAGGGTGCGGAGGGTCTCGGATGTGGTCTCCGCAGAGAGGCCCCTGATGAAGAGCTTGCGAAGAGTGACGTCACTGTCGGCCACGGAACGGATGGCATCGAGGACGTCGGAGTGGTGAACGGCGGCCTGTTGGAGGATGTCGAGGAGCTGGTCCTTGGTGAAAGGCTCGATGATTTTCCTGATGTCTTCTAGGGTTAAGCTAGCGGTTACGATAGTGGCGTTCGCGACGACGTTTCCCGGCGAGGATGGAACATCGAATTCGTCGACTTTCCGTTTCTTAGAGAAATCCATAGCGATTGCCGTAACGATGACTACAAGCTGAGAATCTGAGCTATGAAATGTGAAACCCTAGCTAGCAGCAGCCAGTTTCGATTGGAGGTGGACAAGGAAAGCCAGGGTTTATAAAGCCAAGACGCAATCTGATCTGGTATCGGTGTGTCAATCGGGTCGGGCTC